GCGCTGTGACGCCCCTGCTGTGTATTCTGGACTTCACAGCCTTCCTAGGGATGGGACAGAACTCAGAGGCTGGCCGAGGTACCTGTGGCTGGCAATGCCTTTTTCCCTGAAGACAGATATAGGAAGAACTTTTGAACAGGTGTAACTTTCATGGATGCAAAGGCATGCTCGAGCACACATGAGCTTCCCGTCATTAGAGGTATAAATAGAGAGGGAGAGAGCTCTCGGCGCCATACAGGGACTGGTGCTTTCAGGTGGAGGGAGAAAGATCACAGGGGCCTGTCTGCACACCCAAAGCTGCCCCGTCTCCCCCTGTGCCCAGGGGAGCTCTCAGCTTGTATCTTCCCAGCAAGAAGGAATCTGCCGCAGGAAAGACATTGAACCGTCCCGTTTAGCAGCTTCGGTTCATAAGATCCCATCAACAAAGATCACAGCCTCTTTGTAATGGAGCAACTGACAGTGGAAGAAACATCATAGGGCCGCTCCTTGGAAAAATGACATCTGCTGCTTTATTCTAGCTGCGGACGTGCATACTTCGTAGCCTCTTACTCTTCAGTCCACTGCAAGCTCCCTTTTGCTCTGTGTTTCCTCCATTTATACAGCACCAAAAAACTCACCCGACAGATCTGAACGTTTTTGCAGTGCCGCCCAATTTCAGCCTGGGGATGGAAGGAAAGAAGCGGAAAATATAGATTCAGTGCTTAATATGTGCTGTAGGCCACGAGAAATATCAAAATCATAAAACATGGTCCCCGATCTCCCTCAAGAAGATTACAATATACTTGAGTAAATTAAAAATGAAATAAGAGAGTGTTTGAACTACAGTTCGGTACACTGGCAGTAGAAGGCCATGAGGCAGGAAATGATTAACTGGAAAATGGAACACGCTGTAATTGGTATTGAGAAATGTGCGTTTTGTTCTCCTTTTCGGGATGCAGGTCTGGTTTACCAGTTGCCTTATTCAAAGAAGGTGTTTGTTTGGGCAGAGGGCAAAGGAGAATTCTTTCCATTTACATCCTGAAAGGAATCAAGATGGTGTTTCTTACACCCAAACTGACCCCGTTACAACCATACAAACGTGGCTGCCTGTGGGACAACGCCCAAAGGAAGATATGCAGGCGATTTGACCAAACATGGTGGTGAAAAGACCCATTTTTTGGTGTCCTCACAAACCCCAAAAACAGGGGGCACGTCAACAGCACGCTGTGTTTTTGAAGGAGTGACATCGAAGGCTGTTGGAAGGAAAGGACTTGAAATCGAGCTATCTCTTCTCATCACTTTGCCCGCACCGCTGATGAACCAGCAGCCTCCCTTGTGGGTGAAGAACTTATAAAGGGGTCTATTTCCTGTTTTTTCCTTCCATAAACATGGATGCTATTTAAATCCTGATTACAAAAGTTATACCGATATATATGGTTGCTATACAGTGGAAAACCAAACTGAAATGAGACCTCTTGTGCTGTATACAAGGATGTTACAATGAAGACACACACACACACACACATGTACAACACACAGTCAAGGTGTGTGTGTATGTGTGTGTGTGCACACACGTGTGTGTGTGTGTGTCCTGCATTGTAACATCCTTGTATACATGTACAACACACAGTCAAAAAAAAAAAAAAAGGGAAATCCTTAGGTGCCAGAAACAGAGGGAGATGGGATATCCTCGCGGTACTTTTCAGCCGAGCTGTGGCAGCCTAAGGGGACATAAGCAATAGGGATGGAGACTGGGGCTTTAGCATCCACATGGGAGCCCTGAATCATGCAGAGAGTAGATAATTGTACCACTGCATAAATCCGAGACTTTCAATGAGTCAATGCATCTGTGAAAAGGAGATTAGAAAAAAACTGTCCATCAAAGCAAAGAAAATACAAGAAGGCTTGCCATCTGTTTGAAGCTGTGAGTGAGAAATTAAAACTCAGATGACTATGAAGGTCTAAACATATACTACTTAAATAGTGTAGTAATAATAGTAAAGATTTTTTTCTTATGAAAGTTGGTACCTTGAAAGTTCCTGGGACCATGGTGGAGGCAAACCCAGAACCATGCTGTAGGGACATTTCTGTAGCCCAGCGTGCTTGGGAGTCCCATGGGATTTAGGGGGGGAGAACAAGTCTACTGAAGATCAGCTCGTAATCAAAAGTTGCGCATATCACAAGGAAGTAATTCACCATGAAAGCTGCACATACAACAGACAGAAGATTGAGAACCCCAAGAACTAAGGGGGTGGGGGAGTGCAGGGTAGAGAATTATCTGAACGACTGTAGATTTGAAATCATTAAATGGATAAAAGTTTTAAAAATCATAACAAAAGCATAAGACATTACGATAAAAAGAACAGGCAGAACTTTAAAAGAGCCAGTTGAAAGTCACTTAAAATAGGTGAAAATTGAAACATAAAGCTGAATGTTACTAAAGAATAAATGACCTAGAAAATAGATCTGTGGGAATCATCTAACTGCAGGACAGATAAAGGAATAGAAAATATTGAAACAAAGTTAATAACCTAGAGGATAGAATGAGAAAGTCCAGAATATTTTGAACAAAATTTTCAGAAGAAAAAGTGAGATTATTATGTGTCATTAGGGACTTGCTGATGAAAACCCACCTTATCAGAATGGCCAAAATATAAAACACTGATCGATGCTGGTGAGGACTGGACAGCAGAAACTCTCAATCATTGCCGGTAGGGATATAAATGGTACGGCCACTTTGGAAGATGGTTTGGTGGTTTCCTACAAAGCTAAGCATCGTCTTACCATACAATCCAGCAATATGCTTCTAGGTATTTACCCCAAAGAGTTGAAAACTTATATCACCACAAAAACCTGCTTGTGAATATTTATAACAGCTTTATTCGTAACTGCCAAAACTTGGGAGCAACCAATTTGTCCTTTAATAGGTGAATGGGTAAATGAACTATACATCCATGCAATGGAATATTATTCAGTGATAAAAAGAAATAAGCTATCAAGTCGCAGAAAGACGAGGAAGAACTTTTAAGTGCATATGATTAAGTGAAAGAAGCCTGTCTGAAAAGGTCGCATCGTATGGAGTTCCAACTATATGACATTTTGGAAAAGACACAATTAGAGACAGTTAAAAGATCAGTGGTTGCCAGGGTTGGGGATGGGGCATGGGAAGAGATGACTAGTTAGAGCACAGGGGAGTTTTAGGGCAGTGAAACTATCCTATATGATACTATAATGGTGGATACGTGACATCAAGCATTTGGCAAAGCCCACAGAACTGTACAACACCAGAAGTAAACCCTAATATAAATGATAGATTTCAGTTAATAATAATGTATCAAGATTGGTTCATAAACTGATGTCGATAGGGGAAACTGAAGAGGATGAGAAGAGGAAGTAAATGGGAACAGTCTGTACTTTCTGCTCAGTTTTTCAGTATGTCTAAAACTACTCTAAAAAATAAAGTCTATTAATTAAAGGAAGAGAAAGATAGGATGGGAGAGTTGATAATGCAGAGCAATGATGGGTGATTTTTTCCGGAATTAAAGTTATGAATCATCAGACTGAAGAATTACAGAGTCCAAAGCAGAGCAAATAAAACAAATCCACATCTAGATTCCACACCAAAGGCAAAATAAAATTCTCGAAAGCAGTTAGAGAGAAAATAGAAATTACATAGCAAGTCACGACAATTAGCTGACTGCTAATAACACCTACAGTCTAGATCAGAAGAAAACTCATAACACCTTCAAAAGGTCAAGGAATAATAATTGTGGACTTGGATTTCTATGTTCCACCAAATCAGCCAAGAGAGAGAATGAACCAAAAGCAATACACGCTGATTTCACAAAACTTGAAAAAGAGAGCAATAGGAAAGCAATTATTAACTTCTTTAGAAGTGATCGAATAAACATGGAGTATTTCCTTTATTTTTTTTTGCATGTCTCTTATTATATCTTAAAGATTATGTATGTATACAATATAGTCCTACCTTCTATTTAACATTGTATGTATCTTCCTTGATTTTCACTGTCCTCGAAGGATAGTTTTTAAAAGTTGAATTATAGTCTAAGTGCCAGAGTTTAGTGAATTGCTAGGCAGTTAGTATAATTGCTAGACATTTAGATCAGAGAATTTGCTCCTAAGTGGCAACTGGATAAAATGCACACAGAAGAGAGACAAAATAACGCTAAGCATGCCTACTACCTCTTTTTTCCCACTGAAAACCCCACCTGCCTCATTAACTGCCCACTGAAGTGGGGGAAGTATTCATTTTGCAAGGGACCATTCTAAGCTGGTTGGGATGTCTCTTTCCAATTAATGCTTTGCGCCTAAATTCACGGCTTGTGGGTGACTTTTTGCAGTAATCTTGGAGGTTCTCAAGGCAGAGGAAAGGAGAAACTAATATATTTGAGGACGGCTGCGTGGCAGGCACTGCACTGGGCATTGTTTTTACAGTGTACGAGAATTTCCTGTGAACCAGGTGCTACACTCAGGAATCTGTCAAACATGAGCTCGTGTAATCCACGCCACAGTGCTAGGAAGTATGTGGTATTATTATACCCATTTCACAGATGGGGTAACTGTGGCTCAGAGGTCACACAGCTAATAGTAAGTGATGAAGTCATGACTGGACTGCAGGTCTTCCCACCGTTGCTTGCTGCCGGTTTATCCCGTGTCCTGTTCCAGGCTTGGGTGCGTGTTGAGGGTAGGCATAGAGAAAAGCAGGGTGGGCCAAACATAATGACCATGACCATAAAACCAACCAAACCAAACAAAACAATAGAAAGACTGTGCCAAACTCTCTATACATCATCTTATTTCATCTTTCTACAACAATATTAAATATATATTGTTAGCATTATTGTCTTCACTCAACAGGCGAGTGGATGCAGAGCAGGAGAGCTCAGTGACTTAAGATGACACAGCCATAAGCCACACACACGTCTGTCCCAGAGCCAGAGGTGTCTGCCTCGAGTGCATGCCCTGCTCCTCACCACCTGTGGGTCTTGTCTTCCGTCCAGGTGAGATGGAGGAGCTGGAGACCCTGTGGCTCACTGGCATCTGCCACAACGAGAAGAATGAGGTGATGAGCAGTCAGCTGGACATCGACAACATGGCGGGCGTCTTCTACATGCTGGCGGCCGCCATGGCCCTGAGCCTCATCACCTTCGTTTGGGAGCACCTCTTCTACTGGAAGCTGCGCTTCTGTTTCACGGGCGTGTGCTCCGATCGACCCGGGCTGCTCTTCTCCATCAGCAGGGTCAGTACCCCCAGCGGCTGCTTCCTTTTGCAGCTGCAGGTCCAGGAAGGCACGGGGCTTCCAGGGAGCCAGGGAGTCCCGACTCCTGGTCCAAGGGTCCACACATCCTCTCCTCACCCACCAACCCTTCCTGGGCGTGTCGGAAGGGCATCCAGGTTGTGGGTGTTCGTAAGCCAAGGGTTGCCAGACCAGATGACTGTAGAAGCCAGAAAAAAAAAGGCGAATGGGGGAAGCGGGCCGGGCATGAGAAAAACAGCACAGATGAGATGCAGAATGGCCACCGAATCCGGGTGTCCCAGTGAGGGAGCGATGGAGAAAGGAGGGAACGGTGACAGATTGTGTAATGCTCACCACGCCCACAGGGCAGTCATCCTCAACGCCTGCTCAGTATTGTCTTATAAAAATTCAGGGCCCATGTTATCAGGTCTCCTCCTTCGTAAAAGAGAAAGTAGTATTCTGATTTTATGTGAAACCTTTTGATTTTTAAATATTAGTAACTGATTCCATTAAAAACAAACAACAAAAAAAACACACAACATCACGTGGAGAGCCAAACAAAGCAGTCTCTGGCCTCCATCATTAGCACCCAGATATGCTGCTAAAATGTTTACGCAGGATGTTGCAGCATATGCGTGTGTTCCAGCAGCATGTGCGTGACAAAACGTAATCTACACACAATACCCTACTATGGGTACACACATCCAACAAAACCAAGGGAGCATGTGCATCACAACAGAGCCTGAAACGAAACACAGACATGAAGAACCATGAGAAAATGCACACACATCAAACAGAAAACAAAACACACACGTTCAAACTAACACTCTGTAGTGAGCTTGCACACGATACAACTAAAGCACCTTTCATGCTGCACAAGATGGCATGAGTGTGAGTTGCCTTAAAAAGGCACAAGTGATATAATTCATCAGTAATGATAACAATCATGGAAACTAGTTATATTTGTGGAGCACATATATGTGCCAGGTACCATGTGAGGACTTCCTACTCTCCATCTCATTTAACCTACAAAACAACAATGTGAGGTAGGTACTGTTATTAGCTCTAGATTATAAATAGGGAAGCTCAGAGTTCTTAGAATTACCCAAGGACTCACAGTCTTGGTGGAGCCAAGATTTGAATCTAGATGGTGTGACACCAAGTAGAGCCCACACTCTTACACAGCAACTAACATCAAATACAAGCAACACAAGAGATTTGATACGATCATAGTATATAACATGTACACATGCAACTCATGTAATATGTTTCCATTAGTCAGTACAATCTGGTCATTTACTTGCATCATAGGAAAAGCACATGCAAGCGTTTACTCATCTTCCAACACAGTATGACATTATCTATCCATCTAATAATCAATCAGTCATCTATCTGGTCATCCATCCGGCCATCTATTTATCCATTTACTTATCTTGGAATTTTTTCACTCCGAAAGAATTTAATGAATTAGGATTTGAAACGCGGTTAGAAAAAAATTAGTTAAAAACATCTAATTTTATAAGCTAATGTTTATTATTTTAAGAGGAATTTGCATATTCTTAGCATTTGATGATTTTTAAGAACTTGGGAGATTCAGCAGGGACCCGTTAGCCCAGTGAGGAGGGTTTATTTTTTCCTTTCAGTGGCTCTCCAAACTCAGGTTCTGTGCGAGAACATATTTTCTAATCAGTTCAATGGCATCTAAACACACAGATTGCTTAAAAATAACAACATGCATGGATACAACTAGATATCATGCCAACTTTAAGCTAATTCTCTCTGCCAGTTACTAAAGGCTTTCCATATCCAAACGATTCTGGGATTATCGTGAGGACACGCACACTGTCGCATTTACTTATAAATCCTGCTTGGGTTTCAAAGAGCATTTCCTCTACCTGGGATGCCGTTAAGGAAGCCAAGTTGACAGGATCATTATTATGAGAAGTGAACCAAATCCCTCACTCCCGTTCCAAGCATCTTAAGAAATGAGAGTGGAGTGGGGACAGGGCACACAGGAGCAGGCACTGTCATGTGGTGGCTCGACAGGCTGGAGTTCAAACTTCAGCCGCACCTCCCTAGGGGAGAAAGGACCCCTCATCCCATAGGAGCACTGAGGGGACTTCTGTGACCTTCTCCTATACAGCATCAGTATGTGATGCTGTACATACTTCTGGGACCCAGCCACTGTCACTCCTCGAAGGCTATAGGGAGTCTGCTCGATCACTGAGCCACTTTCTCCCCACATAAGATTTGTCTTTAAACATAAGTACAGCCTGATATTCGTGAATAGGAAGATCTCACGCTTAATGTACCTTTCTCACTCTGAATTCCCCTAATAAATACCTCCCGTATTTATTAGGGGAACTCAGAATGGGTTCAGCCGCTGATGCTCTACATAGCGGGGCTTCTGGATTGCTAAAAAAAAAAAAAATGTTCTTCCATTCTGACCAAGGGCCACCGCATACCTCTAAAGCTTGTCTCACTGCATGTTCATGCATATGGCACCTTACACGTGTGCTTACGCTCACACGGCGCAGAGAACACACAGCGAAACGGAAGTGTCTGCATCGCGCACACACGATCGCTCTCTGTAACAGAACCTGAAGTGGGGAATTCCCAAGCAAAGCACCCACTCTCCTGCAAATGCAGGATCGCAGCGACATGACGAATTGTGCCCGGCGTGTAAACGAGAGCCTGGGCCAGCCGTGTTTCCTCCATCATCTCCGATCCTCACAACACCTGGCGAGGCTGCTGTGATCACACCCACCCTCTGGAGGTAGAACGGAGCCCTTTGGCGTCCACTTTACATTCCCTCAAAACACAGAGCTCTTCTCACTGCATCTCATGCCAGAAAAAGCACAAAGGAGGAAACTCGTGTGTGTGTGCAGGGCTGGGTCCCTTTCACCAGCTTCAGGGTTTAGACTCTTCTCTAAGGGGCGTTGATTTTGGTCCAGGATGCTCTGAAATTCACCTGTACCCCAGGCAGGGTTTTCTGCACATAAGCCAGGTCTCTCTGATACCACGTCATCTACTTCTAGCTCATTGCCCATCCAGACACAAGACGTAAAGTTCTTGCCACGTAGCCAACACACACAGTCTCCTTCCGTGTGGGCTCAGCGTCCCTCAGGAAGCTCCTGGATAACTGGGCCCAAATACAAACTTGAGACACGTGCTCCCCAGGCACTGCCGAGGGAGAGGCCAGAGCCCAGGGGAGTCGTCATGTGACGCAGGAACTAAGCTCGTCCCACAGCTGGGGCCTTCGTCTCGCACTGCTTACCAGACTGGGCCCGCTCGTCTGCAGGATGCCCCCAGCTTTGGTTTGCTTTCCCTCTCATGTAGAAAAACATATTCACTGTTAGCAAAAAGAACCGCCTTGGCTGTCTGCTGAGGCAGGAGGAATGGGAGATGTGGCAAAGACAAGGACCGGGCAAAGGGAACCGTGGCTCCTTCCCAGTGAGCTCAGATGAGGGGAGCTGGCAGCAGTGACAGAGGCTTCTGACTCACCCGTAACTAGGACCCGTGAGTAGAAGTCAGACGCTGTCTCCGTCTGTTCGGCCTGAGTGGCTTATAAGGAACAGAAAGGTACTGCTCACAGTTCTGGAGGCTGGGGGTCCGGATCGGGGTGCCAGCCTGGTCGGGTGAGGGCCGTCTTCCTCATGCACAGACGGCTGCTTGCTCACCGTGTCCTCACATAGCGGGAGGGGTGAAGGAGCTCCCTGGGGTCCCCTAGAAGGACACTGACCCCGTTCATGATGGCTCCACTCCCAAGACCTGTTCACCTCCTCAAGTCCCCGCTTCCTACTTTCATCACATCGCACGTTAAGATCTCAACATATGAACTGGGCGGAGGGGGGAGGGGAGGGTGCAGACACAGACGTTCCATTCATAGCGGACCCTTCAGGGACCAGGCGCAGGCACCACGGCACCGAGGAGGACAGCAGAGCCAAGCCCCAGCCCTGAGACGTCAGGGCCCTTGGCGGGAGCAGAGCAAATTGTCCAGCACAGCCGATGACCCACCATTGCGATTTTATCTGCGCTCACCGCGAGGTTGAGAGAGCCCCTGATTTCACAGCCTGTAGAATGTAGCGCGAACCTATGACTAACGGGCAGGAGGAGAGAGGGAGAGAGAGAGAACTCTGTGGGGACCCTGCGGCCGCCCCAGCCCCGGGCTCGGCTCCCGAGGCGGAGCTCAGGTTGCTCCTCTAACCAGGAAGCTGCAGAGGCTCCCCAGAGCAAACCTTCCACAGTAACAGCAGGGTGTGTTTTCTCGCACCTTTGACACCGTGGGTGGCATGAGCGTGAGCTCGTGTGAAAGGGCAAGGTGACAGCGTAGAAGTACCTGTCAGGGATGCTGGAGCAGCTCGTCCGGCTCTCCCTTCCTGAGCCCCTACTGTGTCAGGTGCTTTGCCTGCTTCGTTTTACCCTGTTGCCCACCTTAGGAGTGTGTATGATCCCCATTCTACAGGTGTGGAAGTGGAGGCTCAGAAAGATGTAGTGGCTTATCACAGAGCCAAAAGGGATGGGGCTGGGACTCATATCCAGTGAGTTTCAGGCCTCTGACTCTTCCCATTGCTCTGTAATATGCACCCTGCCCCCAGCAGCCCATCTAGAAGATGGGTTGACACGGAGGACGCTGTCCGTCATCAAAACCTGGGGTATTCAGGCTGGGTCTGTCACGTTGACACCTTTCCGTGGCTTCACCAGGTAGATCAGCACCTGGAAACTGCCTTAGCTGTGTCACGTGAGTCCCAGGGGGCCCCAGGGATGAGAGAAAGCAGTCGGCAGCCATCCTCCCGTCTCCCGAAACGTAACTCTGCTCCCTGACCACTTCTGCCACCAGAGACGGCCAGCTCCTGGCGGCAGGCGGGAGCACCTTGCTCTGAGGGTGAAGGGGTGGAGGAGAGTTCTCAGAACCTCTAGGGGGAGGAGGGGAGCTCGCTGAAATAAAAAAGCAAATTTAGGAAAAACAATTCAAACTACTGCTTTCATCATACTAACAACAGGAAGAAAAGGCACAGCTCTTGGCTGATTGACACCCTGATTTCACCCACAGCATCACAGTCCCCCTAGGGCAGGGTAGGAGTTGATTCTGTTACTAGGTTAACACGGACGGTTCAGAGGCGGCGTGCTGTGTGAAGTACGTGGTGCGTTTGTCTGACCACGAAGGGTTCAATGCCAGGGCCGTGACCTTGGGGAGCCTTAGCCACGCAGCTTGGGGTTGAAAGAGTCAGAGAAAGAGACGCTCAGACACACAACTGTAGGCTTTTCTGTTGACCTCTCCTGGAAGGCTGGAGTGGCGACTGTCTAGAAAACCACAAGAAAAATGCAGCGAGGTCGAGGCTGTCACAGTTCCGTGAGCATCTCTGCGGGCTAAGCTCCTCCCCACCGTGAGGCACTGATGGAGCCACTGTTAGCAAAGTCCACAGTTAATCACACATGCTTTCCACGAGTTTATGCCAAAGTCAGCAGCAGCTGCCACATTTGCTTTTACAAACCCTTCTCGGGCTGGCTCCCCGTCAGTCTTGGGAGGACCAGGTCAAATCTTGTAGGCTTGATCTAATCGTTCCCTGTATGGCTGTTTTTAAGAATGGAAGAAAGCGTGGTGATAAACAAGATCACAATGTCGCTGATGCCCTTTTGCCTACTATCGTCTCCTGAATCAAGAGCTCTTCCCTTGAGTTACTTTTAAGTAAAAATAAATGGCTGTTTTTAAGAATGGAAGAAAGCGTGGTGATAAACAAGAGACGTATAGATGGGGTGCTTATGTTTGAGCTACCCAGGAGTCCCCGAGTCACTCAGTCCCTAGATAGATTTAAACGCAGCAACACTGTGTCATCAGGATTCCACCGACCCTACTAACTAAAACCCAACTCTATGTTGAGCAAACTCACTTACAAACAAATGCACAAGGAATATACTGAGTGGGCTAAGCGAAAAGTTCAAGAGGGTGGCCGCAGGGGTTCGATCCATATCATGTCTCTCTATCCCCTGGACCCTGCTTTTCTATGGTGGATTCATGAGGATAATGTCCCCACATGGTGGCAAGGCTAGTCCCCTGCAACTTCTCCTTCTATCCTAGCATCTGTAGCTACCCCTCCAAAAACATCTGATTGATCGTGCACAGATTTCATGCCTACCCTTAGAGAAATCGGAAAGGATTCTCTGACCAGCTTGGGTCTAGTGATTCGATTGATGGCTTCAGTGTGTGGGTAGGGATAATCCCCCAAAAGAATTAATAATAGATGGTCCTTTTATGCCAGCTTTGTTGGTTAATAGCTGATTCTCTATTATCCAGATTCCAAAGGTGATTCTGGGAAACTTTAATAAAAGCATGAGTTGGCGATCTGGGTATTGGGAGGGTCAGTTACATGTCCTTACATGCCAGTGTGGAGACGCTGAGACCCTGGTGGGTGTATAAGCTCTTGTGGATACCGTTTCTCAAACTCCTTGTTTGACTGTTTGCTAAAAAAGTGTCAGGTCATCTTGAGCCAGAGAGACAAGATAAGCCCGATGCTTTGCCACTGGCCTCGTCCACTTAAGAAACATTATCAGGCCTCAGGTTGGATTTCCCTGTTTCTCCCAGGCTCCTACAAGAAGGCCACGTCGCACCTTTGCAGGTAGAGTTCAGGTGTGAAGTGGTTTCCCTTCCTTGCTGCCGCTGACGGTGTGTTGTATCCCTTCTCACAGGGTATTTACAGCTGCATTCACGGGGTGCACATCGAGGAAAAGAAGAAGTCACCAGACTTCAATCTGACCGGGTCGCAGAGCAACATGTTGAAGCTCCTTCGGTCAGCCAAGAACATCTCCGGCCTGTCCAACATGAACTCCTCAAGAATAGATTCCCCCAAAAGAGCTGCCGACCTCATCCAAAGAGGTTCCCTCATCATGGACATGGTTTCGGATAAGGGGAACCTGATATATTCAGACAACAGGTCCTTTCAGGGGAAAGACAGCATTTTTGGGGACAACATGAACGAGCTCCAGACATTCGTGGCCAACAGGCACAAGGACAACCTCAACAACTATGTGTTCCAGGGTCAGCACCCTCTGACCCTCAACGAGTCCAACCCCAACACGGTGGAGGTGGCCGTGAGCACGGAGGCCAAAGGGAGCTCCCGGCCTCGGCAGCTTTGGAAGAAGTCCATGGACTCGCTACGCCAAGATTCGGTGACCCAGAACCCCGTCTCCCAGAGGGACGAAGGTACAGCGGAGAACAGGACCCACTCCCTGAAGAGTCCCAGGTACCTTCCAGAAGAGGTGGCCCACTCGGACATTTCGGAAACTTCGAGTCGGGCCGCGTGCCACAGGGAACCCAACAACAACAAGAACCACAAGACCAAGGACAATTTCAAAAGGTCGGTGGCCTCCAAGTACCCCAAGGACTGCGGCGAGGTCGAGCGCTCCTACCTGAAGACCAAAGCCAGCTCCCCCAGGGACAAGATCTATACCATCGACAGCGAGAAGGAGCCCGGTTTCCACCTGGACCCCCCGCAGTTCTTGGAAAACATGGCCCTTCCGGAGAACGTGGACTTCCCAGACACCTACCAGGACCGTGGCGAGAGCTTCCGCCAGGGGGACCCCACGCTGCCCATGAACAGGAACCCCCCGCACAAGGAGGACGGGCTTCCCAACAACAACCAGTATAAACTCTACTCCAAGCACTTCACCTTGAAGGACAAGAGCTCCCCGCTGAGCGAGGGCAGCGACCGGTACCGGCAGAACTCCACGCACTGCAGGAGCTGCCTGTCCAACCTGCCCACCTACGCAGGCCATTTCACCGTGCGGTCCCCCTTCAAGTGCGACGCCTGCCTACGGATGGGGAACCTCTACGACATCGACGAAGACCAGATGCTTCAGGAGACAGGTAATCCAGCCACCCAGGAGGAGGTCTACCAGCAGGACTGGGCACAGAACAACACCCTCCAGTTCCAAAAGAACAAGCTCCGAATCAGCCGTCAGCATTCCTATGATAACATTCTCGACAAACCTAGGGAGCTGGACCTTAGCAGGCCCTCTCGGAGCATAAGCCTCAAGGATAGGGAGCGGCTTCTGGAGGGAAATTTGTACGGGAGCCTGGTTAGCGTCCCCTCCAGCAAACTGCTGGGGAACAAAAGCTCCCTCTTCCCCCGGGGTCTGGAGGACACTAGGCGGAGCAAGTCTCTCTTGCCAGACCACGCCTCCGACAACCCTTTCCTCCACCCCTGTGCGGACGACCAGCGCTTAGTCATTGGGAGGTGCCCCTCGGACCCTTATAAACACTCACTGCCATCCCAGACAGCGAGTGACAGCTACCTTCGATCGTCCTTGAGGTCAACGGCTTCGTACTGTTCCAGGGACAGTAGAGGCCACAGCGATGTGTATATTTCTGAGCATGTTATGCCTTATGCTGCAAATAAGAATAATATGTACTCTGCCCCCAGGGTTTTGAATTCCTGCAGCAATAGACGCGTGTACAAGAAAATGCCTAGTATCGAATCCGATGTTTAAAACTTTCCATTAATGTTTTATCTATAGGGAAACATACGTAATGGCCAGCGTTCTGGAGGGAAAATGTTGGATGTCCGATAGTGCCCTGCAAAGAGGAAGAGGATTTAGGAAGGTATTTTTTTTGTTGGTTCTTTTGCACATGGCTCCATGCCATAGTCTTCCACTCGAGGAATCTTGTGAGGTGTGTGCTGAGCACGGCAGAGACCAGATAGGTGAGTCCTTAACCAAAAATAAACACACAAAGGGGCAAGTCTCCCCGACACGCCCACTAGGTATGTTGGTGGTAATGGTGCCTCGGATGCCACTGGCGATGTTATGATTTCTTGTATTCCAAATCCCATTAAGACTAATCCGCCACATAATTTCCTCATCGGAAACGCCTAACGGTTTCTCTCATACAGAATAAGCAATATGGTATGCACGTAAATCCGACACAGACCAAATAAAACAGTTAAGAATGCATCTGCACCGTAGCAAGATTGACATGTGCAAGAGATTAGGAAGTTTAGTTTCGTGACCGGTTCAGCTTTATTGTTATGCCTTCCATCATGGCCCAGGCCCAACCCCAGAACTCCAGGCTCCCCCAAAGAGTAGCACAGCAGTGTGTTTCGTGGTAACTGTGCTGCCTTCATTAGCGTTCATTTTCAAGACACATCTGGAGTAGAAGCCAGAAGGGCCCTCGGGCAGAGAGCTCCAAGAACCACGTTGGATGTCCGTGTGCGTGTTTCAAAGACACTTCCCCCACCTCGGCTTCGATGGTCTCGTTCAGAGCTGCGTACACTAACACGTTTATGTCTTCGATATCTAAGTGTGGGTCTTCTGTCTATGACACAGCGGCCATTGTAGTTTATCCTGAAGACTCCTGCGTACGTAAGTTTGCGTCCCCCCACTTCTGGTGATGACTCAGGGTTGTATAGTATCTGTAATCCCTTCTTTCCAGAGTAACCATGACTCGTTCGGTCCCCGAGCAGCCACGGTGGCATCTAATTAACCGCACTGCTGTTCCCGGGGTTGTTAATGTGGTGGCATGCACGACAGCCATATGTGTACTGTGATCTGTAGGAAGTGCGATGCCATCTGTCTGCAGAAGGCTAGCATGGTTTTCAGTTTATCTTTCTTAAGGTCATGAAATTTAGTTGGACACTCATTTTCCCCCATGACCTCCTAAACTCAAAAGCCTTTAAAACATGAGAGACACTCATGCATCTATCCTGAGCATCCTTCAGGTTGTGGATAAACTTTAGTGGGACAAGTGATTCTCTCTTCTGAAATATCCACTCTGTTGGAAGCTGTTTCACTAGCATCAGCAGAGATGTATGGAAAATTCCTCAAAGCATTTGTCATTTCTGAGACATTCGTCACCTCTATTACCCATTCTTATTCAAATCTGTGCAAATATGACATGAAATGATACTAATTTAACAAAATTTGGGAAATAGGGGAGAATCTTTATGTCTGGGAAGCTCTTAGCACAGTGCCTGGTCTACGCAAAGTGCCAAAGAGAGAGAGAGAGAGATAGGGAGAGAGAGAGAGAGAGAGAGAGAGAGAGAAAGAAAGAGAGAGAGAGAGAGTTGTTATGTTATGACAGTTTATCAGACCTGAATTTTCTAGTTTAAAGATTAAATATTATAAAAAACACAAACAATATTATTTAAACATTTCATATAGTTCTAATCTAATAATTAGTGTCTTTTAAATACATTAATATCCCTGAGATATTTGGGAGAAGTAGCCATCAATCTTCGCAGAGTACCTCAATCTGTTGTGACATACTGCAGAAACCCTAAGCGGATGTAAACTAGCCCTCCCGTTCCCTCGTTTCCTCCTGCGTTTTGCTTTGAGTTCTTGGAGAAGGGGCCAGAGTGGCAGGTTGAAAAATTACCCTGTTTCTTTGCTTCGTGCTGTGTTCTATTTTGTAGGTAGTGTTTTCCTGTGCGTGGGCAGGTGCCAGGAATAATTTTCTTGGAGTTCGGGGATCCATTGACTGGTGCCATCTTTGGGGAAGTGCACCAGACTTAGTGTTCCCATAATGAAGAAAGGTGGTTGCAGTGAATTTCAGTCAGTGATAGAGAGGCAGAGGGGGGTGGTGGGTGAGAAAGTCTTCTCATCACCTTTGAGGCTGAAAGGCAGAAAGGGCAGACTAGGCGCTGGTGACAAATGTGCCTTAGATGTTGCACCTTTGCTGCCCCAACACCCAACAATGGAAAAGCCTAGATTGAAGGACCTCGAATAGTCACCCCAGTTTCTAATCTTAAGCATACCTGTGACAGTTCTCACCTTTTAGAACTTTCTGCCTGTGCCCTTCCATTGTGTTCCAGACCTGTATCCCCTCAGCCAGAATCACTTCCATTTTCTCTCAAGATTGGCGTGTCTGAACATGACATGAATTTGAAAAGTCTCCCCAAAATGCAGAACAGTGGTACGTCATCAATCCAAAGAGGCTTTGTCTTCCTCCATTGTCCTTGAAACCCACAGGGCGGCCAAATGTGACAGAGGTCTCCAGGGAGAGTACAAATTGCAGGTGGAATGAGTCCCCAGATCAAAAAGCCTTCTCACAATAGCATTATTTCCTCCATTAACCCCGTGCTTCTCTGTAAAAAGAAACTAAAAACGTGGCTTTTGGAAGAGCCAACAGTAACATACTGAAAAAAATATATACTTTCTTTAATACCCAAAGTTTTTTTAACTAAATAATCAGAATTGGATGCTATATAATAAATAATTTTCCTCCTCCACTGATTGACTGCTAACTGGGATGATCCCAAACATAAGAAAATCGACCAGGGATCTGATATTCAGTTTCCAAGAGGAAGGTGATGATGAGGGACTATGCAGAGGTTATCCATGTCAGGTCAGTTCTTTGGGAAAGGAATTTCGGGAATAGAACACCACCAGGAAATGACGCCCACAGCATTGATGGTAACAAGACTTAAATAGGGAGCCCTGAACTGTGGATCTATCCCAAAAGGTTCCTCTGACGTACCCCAGCTCTGAGACCTTAGTTTCGTTGATGCCAAAGAGCCAGAATCTCTGGCCCCAAATTCGTCCCCTGTTTCCCGCTGCGCGATTTTACCTGACTCAGTCAGAGCCGACATCCTGATGATGTTTCATTGACTCTCCATGGTTTTGTCCACTTGAAAAGGACCCCACCAATCCGCCTGAACGCCGATGCACGTGTTCCTGCCCACTGGGTACACACATGCAACCAACTTCACATAGTGTTCTGGGTGAGAGCGAGCCTTCTAGAGCATGAATGGCACTCTGGGAAACCTGTGGGCTTCCGGAAAATAGTTGTCAGCATTCTCGCACACTTAGGCTACTTTGATTTCAGTGCTCTGAGAAGGCACCTCCTCCATGGGTCTGTTTTCCTGCCCGTGAGGCTTCCGCGAACAGTGCGGGGATCAT